TGTGTGCGTGTGTGCGTGCGTGCGTCTGTGCGTGTGCGTGTGTGTGTGTGTGTGTGTGTGTGTGTGTGAGAAACACCTGCAGCCTGTAGTTATTAAATCAGCTGTGTTGACATGCTGTAATATGTTTACTCTTATCAGCTACACACACATTTCCATTCATTCATAATTCAGCGGCCGCGGCTCCTCAGAGGTCAAACAGCACAAGCGCTTTAATGCGAGTTTAAGGCTGCTGTTGCTGCTGGACTTTATCTGACAAGCAGAAAACGGCCGCTAATGTGTCTGCTTTCTCGCTCTTAATGAAGCGTTTCACTGTAATCAGGAGATGAAACACTCTAATCAGCCGTTTAGCACTGACTTAAAATCAGCGTGAAATGCCATTCACGTTTTATTTTCATAATATGATATGTTTCATAGTGAAGCAGGATATTCGGGATCTTGATTTTATCTGTCTGGGATTGATTGGGTGATGAAAAGAGTCTGTTTGACAGGCGGTGGATGACGCTACGTTTGTCTCTCAAACCGTTATGAGCCCTGGTTATTTCAGAGCTCAATAAAAGCATTACTCAAAATATCACTGTCAGTCTCACACCTTGTGAAAAGAAGTGCACTAATTGTAGTGAATGTACACTTGTAGTGCACTTCAAATCTTTAAAGTGTATTATTTTTTTTAAGTGTATTTTTATTTTATTTATTATTATTATTATTTTTTTTTACAAGGGAACACTGGTGTCTGACATCACAGTTTGTGGGCGGAGCCTCATCTAACAAATCATTTCATGTTGAATCCCAGTAGTTTTCATCTGATTCTGATCTGCGCTGCTGAGATACAGACACACACCTGATAATAACCTCCTTCATCTTCACTCTTTGAATCGCTCATAGCTTTGCTACTGATTTGAGATGCATGCACGTGTGTGTGTGTGTGTGTTTTACAATTACATGAGTTCCTTTGGATGGTGAAACCCAGTTGGTATCCATGACAGCAGAGTGGTGTCCATGGCAACCGGCTGGTCCTCACTTTGGTGACCTTTGAGTTTTAGGGCTCTTCTGACACATATGCCAATAAGCTCCGCCCACATCGCCAGCGTGAACCAATCAGAAACAGTAGCTCTGGAGAGCTGCCAGTCATCATACTGGTGGGAATGGCAATCCCAGAATGCATTGCGTAATGTTTAGTCAATAAACCCAAGATGGCTGAAAGAGTCATTTATTTGAAATGTGCAGCTCATAAAGTTTTGTAGAGATGTTACATGCTCTCTAGCTCTGCCTGTTAATCTGCGTAATCCTGTTTTATCAAAATAAAAGATTACAGAGCCAAAGAGTTCATGCAGACTTGCACATTTAGAGAGAGAGAGTGTGTGTGTGTGTGTGTGTAACATTGCCCATCCCTGATCCAAAGTAACTGTTTACTTTGTGAGTATCTGTTAAAAATGTTTTCTGTGATGCACAGCTGTATTTTCATCATCATTACTCCAGTCTTCAGTGTCACATGATCTTCAGAAATCATGCTAATATGCTGATTTGCTGCTCAAGAAACATCTCTGATTATTATCAATGTTGAAAACAGTTGTGCTGACGAATATATTTGCGGAAACCGTGATACATTTTATTTTTTCAGGATTCACAGATGAATAGAAAGTTCAAAGAACAGCATTTATTTGAAATATCAATCTTTTGTAACTTATAAATGTCTTTACTTTCACTTTTGATCTATTTAATGCATCCTTGATAAATAAAAGTATTCATTAAAAAGTATAAATACATAAAATCTAACTGACTGCAAACATTTTAAATGCATGTGCGCGTGCAAAACTAGTATTTTAGTAATAATTTAATTTTTTCTTATTTTATTAATTTAATTTAATTTAATTTGAAATCCCCAAAGTGAGTTTTTTTTTTTTAAAAAGGTCTCGCTCACTTCTAAGCTATTGTTTGTCCTCAAACTGTACTTATGTAAACGTGCCTCACACACACACACACTAACAAATTACTGTATGAATGTTTTTCATAAACAGATTTAAGTGATAAATGATGTGACATGTCTTTGTGTGTCTTGCTGTTTGATTTAATGTCTGTCATTGCTAAATTCTCTTTTATATCTCACAGCTGTCTTAATCATTTACTGCTTCAACTAGTTTTATTTCTCTCTCACACACACTCTCACAAACACACACACACACACTCT